TGTAAGAGTGAATTTTAACTAAACATGGTGACTTTCATGAATGTGGAACGTCGTCAAAAGGTGCATTCAGTTTGAAAAACACATTAGGAGCAGGAATATCGAAAACTTTTCATGTAATTAACTTTTATTTATGCATAAATTGTGCAGTGCGTTTTTTCTAACACTGGCCATAGAGATTCCCATCTCAAAGTGTCTACCCCATACTAACTTATATTTTGGTGACTCGATTTTTGCCTTGATGGTTGAACACTGTCATTGTTGTCCTTTTTTGTTGTATCGAGATGCTACTTGAGCATCAACTGTTACTTACTGAAGTATTAGTATCATCTAGAAAAACTAGAAATATTTTGATTTGATATTCGAGTAGATACTTCGTATTTCGAGTATGAGCATCTACTGAGTTTTATTTATATCAACCATTGTCAAAAAATTGATCGAACGTTGTTTCGACAGAACTTCCTTCGCACCAAAAGTATAATGAAACATATTCAGCATTTTCGAGTTGAGTCTTTTCTTCACACAATTTTGTGATGACCTAATCAACATTTACTATCAACACGTAGGTATACCACCTTGGATTGGTGCAGTGTAATACTAAAAATAACTGTATTGTATTCCCAAAATTATCTGCGAAAATCGAGTGAGCCATTCCATCAATTTTTTGGGGGGAATAAATAAATATTCTTAACAATTTACCATGCCTACAATAACTTTAAAACGTCTGCAAGATCTCAAAGTATTCATTTTTGCAACTCTTGAGTTATTCACTAAAATAAATTGACTGATCCATATATTTTTTTGAGTCACTGTAAAAGCAAATCTAAAAAATATGAATGCAGTGATAAATTACGAAAATATACTGATGATATTTTCCACATTTTAGATAGGATTTATTCGGCAAAATCTTGAGATGACGTCTTCAAGTTTTTGGGCTTGATAAACAGATATATTTTGATTGAAAACCTACAATGTCAAACAGTAACTTCAAAACGTCTGCAATATTTCAAAATTCAGTTTTGCAATTCTTGATTCAATCAATAAAATAAATTGACTCAGTGATTAATTTTTTTGAGACACCCCCTATAAGCAAAAGTAAAAAATATGAATGGAATGATAAATCACAAGTATAGTCTCATCCTATTTTGGACATTTTAGATAGGATTCATTTGGCAAAAGTTTGGGCTGACGCCATCAATTTTTTGGAGGGGATAAGTGAAATATATTTTGAATAAAAATTTATTATGCTTATCATATGTTTAAAACATCTGCAAGATTTCAAAGCATTCGATTTTGCAGATTCAAAATTAAATTGTAGGTGAAACGGAGTTCACGGGGTCAGCTAGTAAATTATAAAATTGGATTGGATTGATTGTTAAGATCTACTGTGTTCTTAAAATTTTGGAAAAATTAAATACATTAACTTAATCGATAATTCTCATTAATTATTTGAACTATCCTTTGTACTTAATTTAAACAAATAAAAGTATGAAATATATATAAACAACATTGAATCTTGATAAATATTTATTTAACAGTTTTCTAAAATGTCGCCATCAAAGTATTTAAATATTATTGGAAGTTTTATAATCATTAGATCTAGCTTAATATTTTGCCAACATATTATGGACAAATTATAAAATTTCGTTTTATTTACAACTTTTATATTTAACGGAACATGTTACACGATAAATTTCGGGTCAAAAAACTTCGAAATCGCCTCGTGAAATTTCTGGTACGGACGAACAGACAAATTTCATAAACATTTTAGTGTCTATCTAATCTAAAGCACACCTCAAGTTTTGTAGTAATTAGTAGTTTCAGTGGTTGTACGCCTAATATAATCGCCCACAGACAAAGAAAAACAAACATATAAATATGCATGCATAAAACTTCTGTAATAACAACTACATTTGTAATAACTGTTACTTTTTTTATTGTAACATATACGTTTTTGCCTATGTTAGGTACTTAGTAGAGCCGTGGTTCTGCTGTGTTTACATTGATTTTTTACAATATATTAGCGCAAAGCATTTTTTTTTTTTTGGAAAAAAAGCTACGTAACATTAACAATAAACCATAAAGTTAATAAATTTAGTCTTTCCACATTTGTTTACAAACAAAATCAATCAGTTCTTATCGTCATTTCAAATTTTTCTACGGATTTTTCCGCGAAGCTGTTTATATAATTTTCAGTGATATATACTTTAAATGACGGCATGTGAAACTTGTGTTTGCTTTTATTACTTAAACATACAAATTTTTTAGAAACTAACACAGTTTAATATGTAATTATGAAATTTAACTAGTGCTTACTAGTGCTTACATGACCTACGAGGGGTATTGATATATGTATAGTTACAGCTTTGGCTATTTACCATAAACAAAAATGACAACGGTTGCCATGAGAAAAATTAGGGTGTTTGACACATAAGCGCACCAAGTTTGATCGCAAAAAGTTTGTCGGTTTTCAATCAGGAATTTAAAAAAAGCAAGGCAGGCAAAAATTGCAATTTTGACAAAACTGAGTAAACTGAGTATAGTTCTCTGATAAAGTACCTTTTTTTGAAAGGTTTGTCCAGCAAAGAAATTTATGGCAATATGGTGGATATACTGAAAGATAGGTGGCCTTCATATGCCACTATAAAAAACTGGACTGTGGAGTTCAAGGGGGATGGAATAGAGGTAAAAGATGAGCACCGTGCGGAAGACCACTTTCTGTGTCTACTTCAAAAAACATCGATGCTGTACATGACTTGATTTTAGAAGATCAACCAACTGGGCTAAAACGTATAGCTTTGAACATTACTTGTAAACGTGTTTTCTTGTTCCTCACTTGTAAACATGAATTTACCAAGTCACTGTATTCAACATGAAAATGTCATGGCTATAGCCTGTAAAAATTTTTACTTCCTCTTGTCTTGTTAAAGCTCGTTTACTGTCGTCTGAACTAACTCGGTAAATTAGCCTTTACACGCACCCTGCCTGTAAAGCGTTACCGTGGCAGCTTTACAGGCACCGTGCCTGTAAAACGTTGTCATGACAGCACCGGAATCAAACACACATTCGCTGCGTCGGCCTTTTTCTTAATCTCACTAATACTGTGCTAATACTAACGTTAAAATCACCTTCAAACTCTTCATCTTCATCGAATTCCACAATTAACAGAGCTCAGAAACAAAATTAAACTATTTAAATTATTAATCGAATTTACAAATTGACAGTCCCGTTATTTTCAAACAATTCAATTTTCCATAGTTACCGGAGCAAACTATGAAAAATGACTATAATTTCTATGACTGTAATTTCAAGTAAAATTTCTAGAGATGCCAAAGTTGTTCATTTTCAGGATTTTCAGCAAGAGGAAGTAAAACGTTGTACGCGGCTCGCTTGCAACTAGCCTTTACTGGGGCTCACCGGATTACAGGGCTCGCTCCTACGTCGCTCGCCCTGCAAACATTCCGGCTCGCCCGTAAAGGCTAATTTACTAAGCTTGCCACGTAAATAACTATACTAGCTAGCCAGTAAAATTTTTACACCCCTGCTCGTGCTATTTTAAACTATTATAAGTTGAAATGACAGCCAAAGTTGATTCAGGTAAATTTCCACTTACAATTGCTGCTTCCTCAGTAATATAGCTTGCGCCACACTCGCTTCAAACATCGAAAACGATAAATCAAAAAATCTAAATGACAGAACTAGACAACACAATAAGTGAGTTTCCAAGGCAATACGTCTAAAGCTCATACGATGTTTCTTCAAATATCGGATCTTCTAGAGTTTAATAGTTATTTACAAGTGAGAAGCAAATAAAATATTGAACAATACACGCAAGGTAACCGGTTTTTGCTGGCTCCAGAAGGTGACTGACTCGCCTGCGGCTCGTCAGTCATATCCTTCTGTCCGCCAGTAAAAACCCTTTTACCATGCTAGTAATGTTAAATACTATTTCCATATTGTGCATTATGAATTATAGGCAGGAGAAAATTATCTGCAAAGTAAATCCTTAAATTCATCAATGGGGATCAATAGCGGCAACGAGTGACAACCTCTAAAATTATTTCCAAACGTTTTGAAAAGGATTCATCCAAGTTTTTGGATCGAATTAAAATAATAGATGAAACTTGGATTCATCATTATGATCCTGAAACAAACGAGCAGTCGAAAGGGTGGAAACAGAAAGAGTCTCCTCACCCAAAGAAATATAAGTCTCAGGAATCTGCAGGATTGCCTAGAAACTGGCAAAACAATGACGGAGCCATATTACTTTTCATTATTGACTAATCTACGAGAAAAAATCATCGAAAAACGTCGCAGCACAATCTTAAAAGGTATGCTCTTTCTACAAAGACAATGCATTGGCCACAAAAATTTGAAGAACTCGGCTTTGAATTGGTTGACCATCCCCCGTATTCGCTGTGTTTGCTTAGCTCCTGCTGATTATTACCTCTTTCCGTAACAGAAAAACATTTGAAAGGGAAGAGACACTCATCACATGAAGATGTAACCGACATCGTGGAGCAATGGTTTGCAGATCAAGACAAAGAATTTGATTTACTTTGAATAAATAAAATTTAGTTTCATAATATGGCTTCTTCTTGTGTTTAAGAATTTATCTATCCTCGTATAATTTCTTGCTATCTTTTAAGAGCAAAATTGCATTAAAAGTATATTTAACAGACGGAATGACTAATTTTTACACAAAAAATAACAACTAATTATTATTTGTGGCTGATAAGTCCAAGTACTTCAAGTTAACAACAATGAAAATAATTTATTACACTAGAACTAAGCATCGTAGACTTCATGATCTAATCCTTGTTTCCGGTCAATCAACTATATTATCCTCATTTTCATTGTTGTCATTGAAAGAAATTGCTTGGCAACAATTCAACCCTAACATCGATGATACATTAATGTTTTTAAATAGTAAGACTGCTTTAGTAAGTACTTTGTCATTGTATCGATACGCTGATCAATTCCGAGTTGCGTTAGAAATTACTTGCAATGCAAAGAAGTTATTAAATTGAAACAGTTTTACTGTACATTTTCGTGTTCGTATGAAAAAATACATACTTTAAAAACACATTATTTTAATGAAAATTACGAGTTTGATCGATATTTCTATCCCAGGTGATAAAATTCACACACCCTTGTGTTGCAGCTATCTGCTTAATTAAAACATTCAGTTTTTGATAACGCTTAGATACTTGTGCACGGAAAAATCAGCGACATCTCAACAGGTAGGATAACGCTTTTTTTATTTTTAAAAGAATTACGTTGTTCAGCAATTCATTTATTGTAATGTATTGGAAAAATCAAAAGAATACATCTGCGGTCGTTAAGGGAATAAAAAAGCTCGAAAACAATATCATGAATATTATTTATTCAATAAATTTAAGTGACATGCATACCCACTCGATTATACGTCTACTTTTTCAGTAATCAAGAGAAAATTTAATAACCTAATTATTTAATTTTATGATAGGTATTTATAATAATTCGTGGTTATGTAAATAACCGATAAAAATGTGGTAATATACGCAATTTGTTTTCTTATCACATCACCACTGCACCCACACATTGTTGTGATAAAAATTCGTTTTTATAGTCGTTATACTTCGATGATATCATAAAATAATAATTATAAATTGTATAAAACTAACAGCCAGCGACAGCGTAAGTATTTTAAGTGACTCATCAACCTCTCCTTTTCCTTCTTGGTACGATTTCGAGACCACATTGCCTTGAGATGTTGTTAAGTGAAATTTAGTGTAAAGAAAGCTAACTTTGTTGGTATCGTGAACATATTTATAAATTTAGTAATGAATTCCATAATGCTGTAAAATTTTCAATTTTTTGTTAGCTATAATCAGCAATACATTATTTTTGCTTATTCCTTATTGTAATTCAGAAAAGACATGTGTAAAGCGTGTAACCCTTTCGAATCAATTCATTGCTCGGCATTTCGCAGAAATAAAAAATATTACTGCATAATTTTACAGTTCTATGAGATTTCGTATGAAGCTTTTTCATAATACAATATTTTTTTTAGTATGTTTCGGCCTCAAAGCGCAACATCTCGTCAAGAATCTGAAATGGCAGCAAAAAGTCTTCGTGAACTTCAGGCTGTAGGTGCAGGTGGTGATCCGATGCACCGTTTGCGCCTTTTGTGTTTATCTCGAGGAGCCAATGGAATTCTGGGATTGGGACGTATGTTTCGACGAATGGATGATGATGGAAATAAACAACTAAATCAAGATGAATTTATTCGCGGTCTGAGAGAAACTGGAATGGAAATGACTGACGACGAGGCAGTTGAATTGTTTAAAAACTTTGACGATGACAATAGTGGGAGCATTAATATGACGGAATTTTTGGTACACGTCAGGGTATGTTTTTATATTGACCAATAAATTACTAAGATGAATCATTTATTTATATAACAACAGTAATTAACGTGTTGCAAACTTGTATGTGGGTTGTGAATAGCTCAGTTTGCTCCGAAAGTTATAGATAATTGCATACTGCTAATTGTGTTGTTTCTTGTGGCTGCGGGTACCGGTATTTGCAACATGACTGTAAGATATCTGTTATTTTGTGTATATAAAATAAGTAGACATAATAGATGTACTTTTGTGTTAAATTAAAGTCAATTAAATATAAAAATTGCTAGAAAGCTAAAATTAAAAAAAAAAAATTAAAACGAGAAGCTAAGGAGAGCCAAACGATAAATTAAAATAATAATAATTTTTTTTTGTTACACAACTTTCGGTATATAAGGGCTTTTTTCAATGCGGATTTATAGTACATTCAAGATTTCGAGATTCTTGTTTTTATTATAATAATTATCGTTACTATAATTATTATTAAATGTGAGTACGTATTTACAGCAAATCAATAAGTCGATAATTTGGTGTCTACAGAACGTCGCTTCGTGCATGAATGTTACAACATACAGGCCTTCAAAGCGTTCCAGTTGTATATTATTGATTAAATTAATAATTTAATACGGTCGTACAACCAAGAAAAACAAATCGGAAACTCAAATTAAAGTCAAACGCTTCTTTTAGACCCTGAATGGAATTTGCTGTTTTTTTTTTTCAAATAATAATAAAGTATGTACTTATCTTATACCGTAGTACCAAAAGTAACAACACATTTCAAGTCCAGTGTAAAGTTTTAGAATATTTTTGAATCATGTTGACCTATTTTTTAAGTATCGACTTTGATGATCAATTATTATTATTGGAAAAACGTTATTCATTATCTTTTAATTTCTCAGATTTGAAGAAGTTTCAATTAGGTACTATTTATTTTTGGCACATAACGGATTTATGTTGATGCAAAGAATCTATACAGACTTATATTGCATATTTATGTTTAATTACAACTATCACTGAATTCTGCAAGTGACTATCAGACTACCCACTTTTTTTACTTCCCGAGCGTAAGCAAAGGAAGTATTGTAATTTCAAATGATAAGGTTACAGCTAATATCCGAAATCCGTTATTATGCATAATAACTAGACATTTTAGGAACTATGCGTAATAACTGAAAACTACCCACCCTGCCTCGCTTTCCCCTACATATCACATGTAAAGGTGATTAAAAAAAAACGGGACAAATTACAGTAACATAAACGTCATATTCTTACTGCTTTTCATTGATCTATGAGAACCTGATTTGCTCATCTTGTCCCGTTTTTTGTGAAATCAGCTGAACATGTTAGGCAATATGCTTAATGACGAATGTTTCAGGTATATGCATAATTCCTATTCCTCTGCTAATTATTACCAATATTACCTAAACGTTTCCGTTATTATGCATAATAACTGAAAATTTCAGTTATTACGCATAATTCCTAATCTTTCCGGTTATTATGCATAATAACTGACAAGTTTAGTTATTATGCATAATAACGTATATCGGATATTAGCTGTAACATATATATACTAGGGTGGCGCAAAAAAATGTTAGTTCATCATGTTTTAAGATCCTCCTCCAAAAGACAGGTGAAAAACATTTTTTAGGAGGTCGCTCCAAATTTTTAAAAAGTTGCCAAATCGTCAAAAATTGATTTTCTTTTTGTTTAATTTTGTTTTTCTCGTTACGGTAATATTTTATAGACGAAAAAAAAGTTTCCCAAATTTTTAGCTCGAAATATTAATTTTTAAAGGTCCCTTATATTTTTTTTTAATTTACAAGAGCATTGCCTTAGATGTTTTCGAGCGACTGTAACCTTTAAAATTGTATAAATTTACAATTTGTTTTCAAAATTCATAACAAAGTTTATTTAAATGTTGTAATTGTTTACATAAAAATATCGAGTTATTAAAAAATTATATTTCCAGCATTGCGTTTGATTTTTTTCCATCTCGTGGTGTATTTTCATTGATTATCTCACTAATTAAAAGGTAAAACATTCATTGAAGCTTAATATAAATATTAAAAAGTCGCTCAAAAACATCTAAGGCAATGTTAATTAAGTAAATTAAAAAAATGATCGACCTTTAACCATTAATATTTTGAGCTAAAAACTTGGGCAACCTATTTTTTTTCGTCTATAAAATATTACCGTAACGAGAAAAACAAAATTAAACAAAAATAAAATAAGTTTTTGACGATTTGGGAACTTTTTAAAAATTTGGAGCGACCTCTTAAAAAATTTTTTTGAGCTGTTCTTTGGCGGAGGGTCTTAAAACATGATAAACTAACATATTTTCACAGGAGACTCAACACAAAAAGTCATATACGTCACCATAAAATAACGCAAGTGTTTTGACACTTTGAACGCATAGTTATGTAAGTTAATAATAACCATGTTACTTTTTTTTCATGCTCCTTTCCTTAAATTACACATAAAAATATTAACGTAATTACATCGTCGTAAAAAGAGGATAAAAACGTCAACCAGATATATTTAAAATGCTGCCACAAGTCTTATTTGTATAAATAGTTCCACAAATAAATTATTCAGTACAGTTGTACATCCATTTACTCAATACAAAAATATTTTAAATATTACTTGTTCTTTTAGATCCATATGCGTAAATACGAGGGTCAGTCAAATATAAACCGGAATTATTTTTTATTAATTTAATAATGCAAAATAAATGTACAAACAAAGTCTAGAATTGTTCTGAGTAGTCTCCCTGAAGGGCTACACATTTTTGCTAACGTCTATGAAGCTTTTTAATTCCTTCATGATAAAATGTTTGAGGCTGTGTCACAACCCAGTTGCGCACGAACCGCTCCACAGCGTTGTCGCTTTCGAAACGCTGCCCTCCCAGTGCCTTTTTCAGTGGACCAAACAAATGATAGTCGCAGGACGACAAATCTGGGCTATAGACGGGATGTTCTAAGACTTTCCAGTGGAAGTCAACCAATTTTTATGCCGTTAAAAGGGCTGTGTGCGGTCGAGCGTTATGGTGAAGCAAAATCACGTCTCGGATTGGAGTTTGGCGTCTTTTGGAGATGTATGCGGCTTTTCGATTATCCAAATTCCAAATTCATGAAGAAAGTCGACAAGCAATATTCCTCTCTAGTCCCAAAAAAATGTTGTGAGGTCTTTTCCAGCCAACAGTTTCGTTTTGGTTTTTACAGGGAAATGTTCCCCACTTCTTCGCCAGTCCATACTTGCCCTTTTGGATTCGAGAGTATAATGATGTGCCCATGACTCATCACACGTGACTATACGATGCAAAAAAGCATCTCCTTCTAGTTCATATCGTTCCAAAAGCCTTTGACAAATTTCCATTCGCCACTGTTTCTGATTCTGTGTGAAAAGTCGTGGAACCCATCTCGCACAGATCTTTCTGAACCCGAGGTGGTCTGTGATAATGGAATGAGCACTCTCATGACTTATGTTTATCATAGCAGCGATTTCATCCACTGATCGTCCTCAATAAAGTCAGAAATCGCTCGAAGATTGTCATCCGTTATGCTTGAAGTTGGACGCCTATGGTGACTCTCATTTTCAACCTTTTCACGCCCCTCCTTAAATTTTCTGGACCATTCGTACACTTCAGTTTTTGACAACGTTTCTCCCCCGAACTGTGTAAGCGATTTGGTTAATATTTCGGAGGATTTGACGCCCTTTTTCGTGAGAAATTTAATGATAATGCGTTGTGCAACCGACTATGGCACTGCTTGCTCCAACATGGTGCTACTGCTCATTGCAAAAAGATATCGGCTGCCGCTATGGCCATATCCCTTCTCTACATTCTTATCTTCATTTTCTATTTATGGCAGTTTATTAGAATTAGTACAGTTTTCGAAAAAACAGAATTCCGGTTCATAATTGACTAACCCTCGTACCGAGGTACGTCTGTTTTTGTTCAAATGGGGCATACACTAGCACACCATGTACGTAGAAGTACTTAAAAATAATAAAAATCCTGCGGTATAATATAAAGCAAGGTATATAAAAATAGAACATATAATAAATGAAAACAAGTCACCAGCACATAGTAAATTACAAATTTTAATTAATAATTTTATCTTTCTTGTAAGCTATGGTTATCACTGAGTAATTTTCATTTGATATTTATGAAATACATTCACTAATTCATACATTTATAAGATAGGATCTGCTCTTGTAACTTTTATTATTTGAGGTGATTATAACACTCGTATGTTTTAGCAGAACCTAATTTGAATTTCTAATAAGTATATACATACTACATATACATAGTTAGTCCTTTATCATACGCTTAATTAAGCTTAAACACAAGGCGTCGCTTGATTTCACTAAATTTATGTATTTTATTTTAGCCCCCGATGTCTGAATCACGTAAAAAGGTCGTTGAGGAGGCCTTTAAAAAAATGGATAGAACTCGAGATGGCGTCATTACTATAGAAGATTTAAAAAACGTTTATAATGTAAAATCACACCCTAGATATATTTCTGGTGAAGAAACTGAAGAAACAATACTCAAAAGGTTTTTAGCGAATTTTGAGCAAGATGCCACTAAAGATGGACAGGTAGTAACGTTTACATCTATTTAAAGTACCTATTCTCCTTATTTAAGTAAATAAATATTTACTTACATGTCGTAAATCATCCAAATAGTTCAGCGTTTTTATTGTATACAAAGTTTCATATTTGATACTGGTTATACATTCTCAATAAAAACAAAAATTGCTTTAATGCAAAGCTTACGATAAAAAAGTGAGAGTCGAAATGACGTTACGTGGTTGGATATTTTACCTTAATTTCTGGGTAACAACAATCATTTTTGACTCCACAGCTAAGTATTATGTTGTAAGTCCATTAAAATATCTCGAAATACTCTGCTGTTACTTCCTGAGCGTAAGCTATGATAATAGTATTACATCTATTTCATGAATAGTTTTCGGTTTTTGTCTGTCTGCTAGCGACATGTAGGCTCCGAAAGAAAATAATCAATTTTTTTTCCGTCTAATTATTTTGAAAAAAAAAAAAAATTGTACAAATAATGTAGCTTAGAAAATACAGACTATTCTGAAGTCTTGCAGACGCTTTAAAGTTATCGTAAACGTGGTAAATCGCTGTTGCCAGTTGTTATTAATGTTATTATGTTTCTGTAATTAAGTAAATATATGGAGTCATTTTCTCATTCGTACCTTTTGCAGATTTCTCCCTGTGTGTATTGTGTTACTTTTTTACAACTACAATTTTTTTTTTCTATGTTCTTTGTTTGAAACGTTTTCTATTTGTCATTTTACAATTATTAATTATTACTCTACTATAACATGTATTGACAAGGTGGTCTACAATACATACAATAATATTGTTGTTTATAAACATTTTTGTTTAAAGGAAAATCAAATGTTCTAATTACAATGTTTCAGGTAACTCACGAGGAATTTTTCAATTATTATAGTGCTATAAGTGCATCTATCGACAACGATGGTTACTTTGACTTAATGATGAGACAAGCCTACAAATTGTAAACTTTTTTAAATGTTAACAAGTTCGTGGTTTAAATTTCAATATTCACATACAATATATTAATAGCTGTGTATGAAGTTTTAACAATCTTAAAATACGTATTGCTCCTTAATATGTTCTTAAACTATTCTGATACTTATAGTGATAAAATAAATTTGTTTGCGAGTTTATTTTGTTTCATTTTAGGGACACCAATCTCCACTTCCACCAGCTCCTCTATAGCTTTTATTCAATTAAATAAATGTTGACCACCTAAATTAAAGGTGATCAAAAATTATTCTCATTCGGAAACAAGAAGCAAGATGAGACTAAAATATTCCTCATGCACGAGGGATTTTTTGATTTCGCGCTAGTACAATTACCGGATTGAACAATTTGTATTCCCCGACAAAAACGACATTGCGGCGATTTGATTTAGATACAACGTTCTCTTGATGTGCCTAATTTTTTATTAATATTTTTTGTAGTTTCCACGGTGAAAAAATAATGAGAGCAAGCACATATTACTAATCAATGGAAATAAGAACAGCACTATATTTTACGTAAGTATAATACTTAGTCGTATCACAGCCGAAGTGTGATTCGAACTTACGTCTCCCCACTTTCCGGGATGTGTTTTGACCACAAAACTGTCCAGACGTGATATATTGTATCACCACAGTGGCATGTAAACGATTTATATACGTATATCAATCTTATGTCAACTTTCCTTATGTGTGAGTAGAAAATACTCCTACTCGACGGTATTTGTGTCTCATCTATCCTAATTAACCAATTTCCAAAATGTCAACTGATATGGTTAGAATTTGAATACAAGTTCTCTAAAGTGTCAACTGTAGCCTTCAAATCAAAAGAAACAGAATTTTCAACATGATATGTAAGACTAAAAAGACAATATTTGAAACTGGTAAAAATAAAAGAATGAATTTAAATTTTGTGGGCAATGAGAAAGTAATGTTTCCACTGTGAAAGTTTTTTCTTATTTTTATATGGGCAAACAATAGAGGATGTGTAACAAAGGACACTGCTGTTAATTATGTTAAATCTGACCACTAAGCTATTTAAAAATAAATCAAGTTAATCTTGTACACCAAGTAGGACTAAGAACTAGAGCAAAAATTGTAAAAAATAATTTTCAAAAGACTATTACGAACATCAATATCATTAGAAGATGCGGGTAACTGTAAGTGAAAAAAATTCAATGTGAATATTACATATATTTTAATAGAATGATGCACTCATGTCTATAACTACAACAAATGAACATAAAAATCTTACATAAATAATAATAATAGTAATAATAGTATTACAATATCGTAAAATTTTGAACCTTCAATAAACTGAATTTGATAGAATATTCACAACCTTTAAATGTACTTCGTACTGTTTGCTTTTTACTATTACTAAATATAATTTACACTTTAGAATTATCGCGACATTTGTGAAGAGTACGACATTAAAGGAATAAATACGAGTTACTACTGTTAAAATATAGGAGTATTAAAAATGCCGCACTAAATTTATACAACACGATTCAAATTAAATGAAACATAAGCTTTTTCTATGTATAATTATTAATTACAATGATTCATCTACAAAAACATGAAGTCAATTTTAGTTGTTATTTAATTGTATCCGTTATAACAAAATGGCGGTTTATCTAGATTTCAAAAATAAAATGGAGCAATAATACATAGCAGGTAATTCCTTATTATTGGAAGTAGTTGCGATGATATGAAAATCACAGACAAAATTTTGTGATAATTAAAGGTACATCAAATGCGTCAAAATTTCCAGAAAATTGGTATATTACAAGCTATACTCAAAGACGTATGTTTAGCCACAATACAATGTGGTAACAATTTAAATTATGATCAGTGTCACTATGTACCCAGTGAATATTAAAATCCACATTAAATCTGTCTCTATTTTAACACTTAAATATAGTGGCCAAGTTTCAAAATTTTGATATAGTAATATAAGTGTAGGCTATTGTTGGAAATCTACTTTGTCACTAAGTTTTGTCTGCCATTTTACTATGTTATTAAATTACAATAAAATACTAATGAATGTTTAGTGCTGTAATATATAAATGATGCTGCACATTTGATACGTCATAAATAATATTGCCATAAACCAAACATTCCTTCTATGGGTCATTATAATTTGCAGTGAGGAATTTCTCCATCTTAAGATAAGTTTCAAAAATTTGGTCATGAAAATAAAATTTAAGAAACCCCTTATGTAATTCTAATAAATGTGAATTGTAACACTTTTAAATTATGGAATTTTGAAATTTGAGGCTATCCAGCATTTGTCACAAGATTCAGCCCGCATAGAGATAATTCGGTAGGTCCGTGGGGCCATAACAACTGCTTTAATGTATGTAAGTCGAATTTTACAAGCCATCGGTAGTCGTTGCCTAAACTATTTCTAGATGTCGCCACCCAATTTAAAAAATATCACAATCGCTTTATTTAAAATGTTAAAAATTGGTTAGTGTGCGACATTTGCCAGACACTACTTTGCTCAAATCGTAATATTTTGAACGGCATAAATAAAAAAGAAATTCATTAGAAAAAATATATAATAAATACGCATACTCAAAAACAAAAGAGGAAAAAATTAACCTTGCCAAACTATTTTCTTTCTACTAATTTTTTCACCTTCGGTATTTTGTGAATTTTAAAACAGCATTTACAAATTTTAGTGCATCCACGTTTTTATTATTTACGTGTGTTATGTCCATGAGCTTTTTCGAGAATTCTAATAAATACGACACATTTAACCACGCAAAAATGGAACAAAAATTGCCTTGCTGGATTTAAAATTCGACGTTGTTAGAACACACAAACATATTTTTTATAAAAAAAATAATATAAAAAGTAATAAAAAATGTTCACCATCAAAACTGAAGAATATTATTTACAATGTTTCTGTGAAAACTAGTGATGTAACTAGTAGATTTCCACGGCAAAGTGAGAAGCCTTTAAATAAACCAAATCGGCAAAATCAAAATAACGAATCTGTCAAATTTCAAATATTCCTTCTTTAGGGTCTCTATTTCAATTAGTGGTCTCAATGTAGGGACACACAAACTATCCCCATGAAACCCATGAAAACAACTTGCTACAAACTGCGGGTTGCCCCTACTAAATGATCTCTATACTGGATTGGTTCAACGTTAATAAACTACAAATAATAATAATAAAACACAACAAAGTTTGTTAATTTCGTCCTCAATAAATTCGAACTATTTTCAGAGTTAACACTGATCAATGATCAGTATTTGTTTCTCAAATAAGCTACCTAATCATTATCTAAGCAAAGCTGTGCAACAAGTAATAGTATAAAATAGTAAATATTTAAATTAGTCTTACTAATTTGAATTAAATTACTGAAAAGAATAATTCATAATTTTTTGGCAAGAATGTAGATTATGATTCACAATACTGATTTAAACGTCAGTCTTTCTATTAACATTAGTTTGGATGGATTCCTTATTTGGGAATTTTAGTATTGCAATTACCATGTAATATAACAGTTGGGTGCTTGCACTTGAAATAAAAATTAAAAACGTCTCTATAACCATGATCTCGCCACCATACACAAAGTTGTCTATTAAAACCGCAGTGTAATGTTTGTATTAAATGTGGATATTCAAAACCTAGCAGAGTGTAAAAATCCTGATCTCCTAAATGCCCACGAAACTTATACTTCGCAGTTAGAGAAGTCACAGTTTCATTTTTGATAATTACAGAATATTCTTTAGAGTTTCTTATTGCACTTAAATTTATTAACACCACACCAGAGTTGTACCCTTGAAAACCTTTAGGATGGGGCATATGACTCGTTATGTTCTTTAAGTGGTAATACTCGCCAAATGTAGAATTGTGCTTACTTTTATATATTTGTAGTACATGTTTATACACTGGAGTCAGTTCAGGCGCTAAACCATAAAGAGCTGTAGTTTTAAATCTAAAAAAAAAAACAGCATATCACTTATTGTTTGCTGCAACCTTAAAGCAACAACCTGCTGAATTCTTCAAAGAGTAGACGAATATCTTGCTTGAAGTACAAATCACAATCTAATAGTACAGCTCTTGTCTGAGAAACAGGAGCAATGCGATACAGTCCTAATGAAATGAAAAACAAAGCATCACTGTAGTAAGTACCTAAAATAGAAAATATATAGATATAATATTTGAACACTGTGGTATGGATACCCGGTTTTGAGCTAAAGTGAGGTGTCAACACTTCAACAATATCTTCAATTGCTTTAGCACATATTTCAACATCGTAAAATTTATAATATATGGGTTTATTAGAATGTGACACCACATCTGATATCTCATTTGTTGCTAAATATTTTGAACTATTATCAACAATGATATGAAACTTTAGGGACACTGTACTAATATTTAGGATATTTTCTAGTAAGTTGTGAAATTTGTATCTTAATGGTGACCGCTCTGTTACTTTGGTAAATATAAGCCACACATGATAATCTTTTACTTTCTTCGGAGGCAAAAAACTTATACTGTTTTTATTGAGAAGCTTCTGTGGAGTGGTATAAGTGAGAAAAATGTTATACACAATTGCACACGCGCCAAATAATATTATAACATTTAATAAAAACTTTACGAGAGATAATTGGAAGTTATTCATTGTTGATCATTTTAACAAATATTTGCTGAATTTGTCCTAACTGTTGTGCCTTCAATGTTCGTGCTAAGTTTTATGTCACAACTGCAAAAAATGACTGTTTTTTCTCTTGCTTCTGTGGCAGTTTTGAACTATTTTACATTCTTATAGTAACCTCTTTGAACATTAGTGGAACACTGGCCACTGGAGTATCGAAATTACTATACAATAAAACCAATTCACAAATCACTTCACATTTGTAATGATGGCCACAGTTGTTGAATTAAATTACTGCATGTACGTATATATTACTTCTTGATTTATTTCTTTTAAAATAAAAGCAAAACAAAGTTGGAAATGTGTGGTATCTATTGAGCGAAATGTCATATGTCCGAAAGTCGAACCACAGACTACAGACGAACCTTGAGAAATAAAAACATCGAATATTTTTAAAATTCTAATTTTCTTTAAAAACAGAATAATGTCGTTGTCAAAATTGAACACAACGAAATTTTATATCTGTTGCATTGCATGTGTTTTTGTATTTTACTTGTTCATTTCGAATCTGGGTTAGTTCGATCCATAGCATTTTCTCACACTCACACTAGTCGTTGGACTGCGCATGAGTAAATGGGGACAATAACGGAGACCTGTTCTGTGACGGAGACAATGGAGTAAACAAAACAGCATCAAAACAGATTGAACATACAGAGCGGTGAGCTAAGTGAGTACCATAACGACCAGCTCAGGACAACTGCTAAATGATACTTATGCATTCTTATAAATTCTTTATAAAATTACACAGATAAGGAACCATTTATTTGTTTTATTTCTATAAAAAAAAAACTGTCCGAAACCACAATGCAAAACGGAGTGCAGCGGCTGACATGGTCCGAAGATATTTTTTTTAGATTGGAATTCACTTTTTGTTTCAAAATAATTTGTTTGTCAAATTAAAATCACGTTTCAAATACTATAGTTTCGGTAAACAGTACCGTCGTTAGGCAGGTAAATTTATGAGTATGAGTAAATAATGTAAGGGAGAAATAATGGGTGATATGAATAAAACTGAGTAGATAGTAGATGCTCATACGCGAAGTACGAAGTACCTACTTGAGTTATTAGCGAGTTTTGCTCGTATATCCCTGAGTATGTACTAATAGGTAGATATACAAGAGCAAATATTCGCAAATACTCAAGTAGGTAGGTACTTCGTACCATGGTACAAATAAATAATGTTTACTTGTATAAAAAAAAAATATATTTATCATGCTTCGCACTTCGAGTATATTACTCAGTTTTATTCATACCACCCATTGTCTGTTTTTATACCGGAGTTTGTACATAGTACAGTTTATACTGTATAATAAATTGTTATTATAATTTACTATAGCTCCAAGAAAACACCTATTGCTAGGGGCTATATAATTTACCATTACCTGTTTTGAGAATATGTATATCATAAAATTTCTAATATGTAGTTTATGAAAATTTGGTTAAAAAATCACTTTTATGTATGTAATTCGTTAAATACCTACTCACAATCAAGTGAAAAAAATTGTAATATTTGCCAGCACTCAAATTTAAAATGTGGAAAAATTAAGTTTTATTGTGCCCAGATGCTCCATTTCTAGATGTGATACAAGATTTAACATTCACAGTGCCATTGTATAATAAACTGATACTTTTCTTACTTATTAATTTTAATGATATATTTTTGTTACTTTTTTGTAAATAGTTTTTTGAATAGGTTAACTGTTTTTCAAAGTGTATTTTTGTTAAAAATTAACTACCATTAATTTTAAGTGCAATAACTGTAATTTCGACAACAATTTAGACTCTTAAAAAATGGTGGTAGCTAATTTTTAACATAAATGCACTTTGAAACACATACGAGTATAACATAACGATGATCAATAAATTATCCCAAAGTACAGTTTGGGACACGGAATTTCAAACGACCTGTCAATCATAATGACACTAAGGTATAAGACTACAATGTTTTTAAATGTCAGAAAGTTGATTGTCGTTTGAAATTCCGTGTCCCTAACCGTACAGTACAACAAATCCAACTTTTTCGAAAAATTATAAGATCTGATTTTGCGAATTTTATTTCTTTATGATAATCCTAATAAGTTAAAATAAAGATATGTAGGTATTGTCTAAGTAAAGGCAAAGAAGCGTGCTACGCGTTTATTTCAAATGAGTTTTTCCATTACAAAATTTTGTGATGACATCGTGAACATTGTTGCAAGGACACGTATATCCATTTGGATAGATGCAGTGTAATAGAATAGTAATAGTAACAGTACTGTATTCCCAAATTTTTGAGAAAATGGAATTAGTCGTTCTTGATTTAATAAATCCAATAAATTGCCTCATTCATTAATTTTTTTTAGTCACCCTGTCTAAAAACTAGGATTTCATTGATAAACCATACGTTTAAATTCATAATATTTTACATATTTCTGAGATGACGTCATTAATTTTATCGCAGGGGCTAAACAAATAAATTTTGATTAACCATGATTAACGTTTGCAAGATTTCAGACCATTCGGTTTTACTGTTTCAGTTACTCTGGGGCTTCGTGAACCTAGGAAATAAAATCTGTATGGCGTGGGGTAGTCCTTTAGGCGCGGATACATAGCTAACTTACAAGCCAAAGAGACCTATCGTTTGAGGTGCACCTCCGGCAGACAAAGCTTGGTATCTCGAGGCGGTCTCCAGGCATTAATGTTGGAGTTCAGAGGATAGCGAAAAGCTTCTTGTTGGTAGTCTTTTCCTTCGGGGAATTCCTTAAAGCAGGAAGTCCAGAAAGGCGTGGGTTAGGAAAGCATTCCCACGAGGATCACCATATCCTACAAGGTTTAATTGTCCTAAAGCAAGGGAACCAGCCGAAGATTTTGTGTCCTCCGCTAATTTCTACAAAACGACCGAGGGAGCAACCGATGAAATCGCATTGGAGGGACTGCCGCTGCCCTTTCAAGGGACCATCTACACTTGGTAGATATGTGTTAAAAATTACATCCGCACATGATACGTTCCCAGAAAGTTTATCACTCTCGCGGCCCTCTTTGTGACTGCTAACAAAGTCGAGCCTGCCAATCGTTAAAAGCCGCGCATTAAATGGAAATATTGCAGGACTTCAGCTATGAAGCTGCTGATTGTAGAGAACGAAATAACCCGAGGCCTACACGGACAGTTACAGACTACGAAAAATCCGAGTTTTTAGACGTAAATAAAACCCACCGGCGCATCTACCTTCGACGTCCAATTTGCTCGTTGTGGAAAGAGTCGCTTTGCACATTTCATTACTCTGTATGTCAGGAATAGCATTTCCGAGTACCGGAGCCTGAACTAGCCTTGCTAGTTCGCTGTTATACGAAATGTTGAGAACGCAGGGAGACCGATTTCCAGATGTTACAATCCGTTTTACTCAAGCTAGTATAGACCTGCACGTTACAAGTTCATCACCACGCCATCCCAGAGCCTCTTGGATGCGGATTCTTTAGCAAACACCAAAATGGTCATTGATTATGATATTTCGCCTGTAGTCGGCACCATCAGGTGTACGGGTTCACCTATAAAGAAGACGCCACCGTTCTGTTAACCTTTGCGTTCTACGAAGTTAGTTCCGTTGCCACTGCAGAAAAAACCCGTGCTCTAATTAATCACCTTTTTGAAAAAACTAGTAAACTCGCCAACTTTGCCATGAATGTACTTACTCGTTTACACATTTTAAAAAAATATATCCCTTAGGTTACGGTCTGCGGAGGTGCCGTTTACGCCACTGCTAAATGTACCCATCTTCTAGATTTGGCTGGTTTATTTGAAAATTGTATTTTATGGCAAAGAAATTCAAGAGGTATAAAACTTTGTCAAAAAATTGGTTGTAGTTTATTTTGACAGAACTTCCCTCGCCCCTGTCCAACAAATTCCGTTTCTTTGAAAAATTAAAAAATTTGGTTTTGCGATATTTGTTTTGTGATAACCTCTACAAAGTAAATAACATCCCCGCAGCCTCTGAGCCGCGGCGGAGCAAATTCCACGGAGGCGTGGTTCGTACAAGTTTGACCAATATGAAATATATTTAAAGCAGATAAGATAACCAACAGAAAAAATGTATTCTTAGTACATGTTTAATTTCAACTGTTTGTGTTCATACCTATCTACTTCAAAAGAATTCGATTTTTAGAACGTTCAAGCATCAGCGGTGACAGATCAAAGTATGCATCTGTGTTAAAAGAAAATGAAATTTAATTGATTTTGCCTCCTCAAAAGAGAGAAGAGGACTGATGAATTGATTAAGTAACAATGGAGCAAAACGGTCCCAATATTAGTTTGGGTGAATAGCTGTTATTATAGTATTTATTATTAATTATTTTATCATTATTAAATCTGGGACACTGAATATTGAACATGCCTGTGAACCGAATTCGAACCCAGGACTTTCATTTGTAAAGTTGGCATTCGAATACGTACTTCACGGACATGTTGAAGAAGAAGAATTAAACAGTAAAAATTATAATAATAAACTTCTTGGTGGGGATGATTAGACAACTTTTGTTTAGCATTTTACCATCTGCATGATTTTCCTAATACACATTTGATAAGAGTTGGTCAGGTAGTTTTGAAAACTGACATAGACTGCAGGCGGCAGACAGACAGACAGGCAGACGGAAACGGGGATAAATTTTTCGTACTCTACAGATCATGAAACTTCGCGAAAACATTAAAGTATCCAGTTTCCCAATGGGTCGTATTACAATATTTCCTTAGTTTACGCTCGGAAGTAAAAGCCTAAAATGAAAAGTTTTTAATGTGAGATTTTTAGAAGAATTGTTAAATTCTGTTTAACTATATATCCAAATTTATACAATGCAACTCAAATCGTTTGGAATAAAAAAAATGTGCATCAATAAAAAATATACAGTGCCAGTTTCACTTTGTGGAAATAAAATTCAAATCCCGCGCTCAGAGTCATACACTAGTGAACGGTTTTGATTCGTCCAGAGGTGTGGGTCTCCTACGATTGCTTGAGAGGTGAAGTTCTTCCCACTCCAGCTTATTGATAGAAAGGACTGCAATTGGTATTGCCAATTTAATTATTTTAATTTTTTTTTATATTTACCTGTTGGTACAGATGTTCCTTGTTCAGTTTGACAGTTGCGGTCAAATAACTGTCAAATAAAGTGTTAAATAGTTGCAATCATGAACGAATGAATATAATATACAAACTGGAGAGCATAACTTATAGCCCCACCTGCAATTTTCAATTTTTTGTCGCTCAGTGTAATTGTAACTTAATGGAACTTACAAGGGTGATAAAAAAGACGAAAATTATAAGTAAGAAGTGTATTTGAATTTGCTAATGAACAACTAAAATAACTTATTAAAAAAAAGTAAAAGTGATCGGTGCATAATTATAGCCCCATATTTTTTTTTTTTTAAGAAAGACGAACGAAAG